CATTGAGCTTTCCTCTTTAGAAATTGCTGGAGACTCTTGAGTTCTAGGTTTCTTTTCTCTATTCCTTTCTCTCATCAGACTACTAAGCATTTTCTTGTTTTTTGACTCCAGGAAAGAATCAATTTCCTTTTCTTCCAATGATTTTGGATATTTTTGATGAGGCTGAGATAAATTGACAGGTAATATCATTGGTATCGGTTCTTCAGGAATAAAATCATCTATTTCCTTGTCTAATATCTTTGGTACCCCTTCCATTGATTTGGTGTCGGCATTATTTTGTTGGTCCACTACGGAGTTACATAAATCAACAGCTGGTACTAAATTATCTTTAGAGAACCACACCTCTGACATCGCTTCCTTACCATCCTGTGTTTGACCACCCACAACCAAGGAAGCCTGTTCCACTATCGCAAGTCTAGCTTCGAGCTCTGTATTCTTTTGCTCTAGTTCCTTGACTCTGGCTTCGCGCATCGTATTCTCCTCAATAATCCGTCTCAATTTCGCGTTCTCAGCTTCAACTTCAGCAGCCTTCTTTCTAAGTTCGGCAATCTCGGCTAAAAGCTTGGAATTTAATTCTTGCAACGAATCGATTTTGGGTTGAATGTTAAACATCACTTTATATAAAAAGCACATTCATTTAAATTGTGCAAAGTACCTATGTTAAGTTCACATAATGTCTCGGAAAAATGCCAAGAAAAATAAACACGATTGAATTCGGTTCACGCTTCGGATTTCGAATTCTGTAGAAATTTCGGCAATCAAAGTATCAGAGAAACCAAATTATTCAGCACGATACAATAATTAAAAAGGTCAAATCATATCTTTATTATTTTTGTAAAATAAATATTGAGAAGGTAGGGACCCGGTTAATTAAATGATAAAGTAGCAGGATTTCAAGGGAGGAATTACCCGGCCTTTTAAAATTTGGTATACAATGTTAATGACAAAATTAACTGTAGGTATTGCTAAAGAAATTGCACATAGTAGAGGAGGTGTGTGTCTCTCTGAACAATATAATAATAATAATACTCCAATGCTTTGGAAATGCATTAAAAACCATGAATGGTCTGCTAAGCTTCATAGCATAAAAAATCATAATACCTGGTGCCCAAAGTGTGCTATTGGAAATTGTCGTACTCGAACAATTGAGGATATGAGGAAGATTGCAGAAAAAAAAGGAAGCCATTGCCTTGCAACCGAGTATATTAACAGACGGGATCCTCTCGAATGGCAGTGTAAAGAAGGCCATGAATGGAAGGCTTCAGCGAGGGATATTTTAAAAGGAACTTGGTGTCTAAGATGTAGTAAATCAGGCCGAAAACCTGTTACACCCAACAAACCACGATACAATATTGATATAGCGAAAAATATTGCACAAGAACGAGGTGGTAAATGCCTTTCTACAGAATATATTAATGCAACTACTCCAATGCTTTGGAGATGCATCAAAGAACATGAATGGTCCACAACTCTTTATCGAATAAAAAGTATGGGAAGATGGTGTTCACAATGTGCTGGCAATTTTCCTTGTGGTCTTATGGAAGCTAAGAAAATTGCTCACAGTAAAGGAGGTATTTGTCTTTCTACAGAATATATAAATCTCTGTATTCCAATGCAATGGATGTGTAATAAAGGGCATAAGTGGTTTGCGAGTTTTAATTCTATAAAGCAATCTAAAACATGGTGTCCTTATTGCATAAATAAACATGAAAACTTATGTCGTGAAGTCATAACTGAAATTCTTGGCCC